GATAGATAATAAGACAGTAAATACCATAATGCCGCTATATAAATCCATGGTACAACCTTGAATATTGCATGCAGATGTGGTTGCCCCATCTCGAAAAAGATATATTGGAATTGGAAAAGGTTCAGAAAAGGGCAACAAAAATGATTAGGGGTATAGAACAGCTTCCGTATGAGGAGAGATTAATAAGATTGGGACTTTTCAGCTCCGAAAAGAGACAACTAAGGATGGATATGATAAGTCTATAAAATAATGACTGGTGTGGAGAAAGTAAATAAGGAAGTGTTGTTTACTCCTTCTCATAACACAAGAACTAGGGGTCACCAAATGAAATTAATAGGCAGCAGGTTTAAAACAAACAAAAGGAAGTATTTCTTCACACAGTGCACAGTCAACCTGTGGAACTCTTTGCCAGAGGATATTGTGAAGGCCAAGCTACAACAGGGTTCAAAAAAGAACTAGATAAATTCATGGAGGATAGGTTCATCAATGGCTATTAGCCAGGATGGGCAGGGATAGTGTCCCTAACCTCTGTTTGCCAGAAGCTGGGAATAGGTGATGGGGGTGGGTCACTTGATGATTACCTGTTCTGTTCATTCCTTCTAGGGCACTTGGCATTGGCCACTGTAGGAAGACAGGATACTGGGCTAGATGGACCTCTGGTCTGAACCAGAATGGTCATTCTTATGTTGTTATGGTTTCTGATCCACCATGCACCATTTTCCACAAGGACAAGGTTCAGCTTAGGCCACACCCTAAGAGCATCTCAAAGATAGTATCTGATTTTCATATGAATCATGTTCACAGGTATGAGCAAAGGCTGCACACCGTGGATGGGACACAGCCCTTCCATGTTTCTTCCTAGCTTTTTGTTTCATATTCAGAGCATATGAGAGAAGTCAACCAGTTACAACACAGAGACTGTCGAAATGGATCACCAGCTGCAGCACTCTTGTGCTTCTAAAGGGATAGCACTCCTTGGCAGGCTGACTGCACACTCAACTAGAGCACATTCAGCCTCAACAGCATTTGTGGCACACATCCCTATTGTAGACATCTGCAGGGCAACTATGTGGTCTTCAGTTCATACATTCACCAGACATTATGCACTGACTGCTGCATCAAGGGAAGATGCAAATATAGGTCCCACAGTCCCTTTTTCTAATGAGAATCCAAGCCCCATGGTCTGGGATAAGATCTTGGGGGTCACCTACAGTGTAATGGACATATACAAGCACTAGAAGAAGAAACGGTTACTCAGCGTCTCATAACTGTTGTTCTTTGAGATGTGTTGCATATGTCCACTATACCACCTGTCCTCTTCCCCCAGTGCATCGGAGACTACCATTAGCTTCTGGTGCAAAGAAACTGAAGGAGAGGCGAAGCTCCTCCCGTATTTTTCCCTTGGTTTGGAGCATGAGGCGCTCAAGTGTGGGCAGGGCCGTTAGGGGTTCTGCTAGGGAAGTGTTTTTCAAACTGGGGGTTATGATCCAAAAGGGGGTTGCAAGGCTGGGGGGGGGAGGGGTCACTGTATTGCCATCCTAAATTCCAGGCTGCCTTGAGAGCTGGCAGCTGGAGAGCGGTGGGTGCTGTTCAGGTGCCCATCTCTGAGGGCAGCGCTGCTGCCAGCAGCAGCCCTTAGAAGTAAGGGTGGTGTGTGTGTGTGTGTGTGGGGGTGGTATCACAGCGTGAAATATTTTCAAAGGGGGGCCCATCAAAAAGAGTTAGAGAACCCTTGCACTGGGGAAAACACTCTAGCACTGGTGCACAGGACATGCTCGCACCTACAGTTGCAATGGACATATGCAACACATCTCAATGAACAACAGTTACAAGAAGGTAACTTATTAGGTTTTTTTTATCAGCTTTACTTGGTAACATTTAAGATTATTAAAGCTGGTTCTAAGACAGTGCTCCAGTGTTTGGGTTGCAAACACTGCAGAAGAATGTTTGTTTAAAAAAAAATTCTGCTGTAATGTTTTAATGAATGATGGAAGCATTTCTGATAGTTTTAGGTTTTTATAAAAGGCTGATAGTATGCAATCTAAATGTTGGACCAAGTTTATAACCTCACTACATCCCTTTAATCCATTCCACCATCCCTCTTGTTGATCCAGCCTGTCACCTTTAACTGGTCTCCTTCCTTGCCAGACATATTCAGGCTGTGTCCAATTCCTGCAGCTACTTCCTCCATAACATTTTGAAGATTCATCCTTTCATTGCTGTAGAGACAGCCAAAACTTTCATCCAGGCTGGCATCATCCTCCCATCTTGATTACTGTAACCACCTCTTCTCTGGCCTCCCAAACACCATGTCCCTTGAATCCATTAACACAGTTGCTAAGATCGTAATTCTTGTCTATCACTTAGAGCAGGGGTCTCAAACATGCGGCCCATGGGCCACATGCAGCCCGCAGAGCTCTTCCCTGCGGCCCGCCAAGCTCCCCGCGCACCCCCCCGTTACTTCCTGTCTCCGCCAAACTCACCTCACCCCTACCCCCCCCCCGAGTTATTTTATGTGGCAGCTAAGCTCCCCAGGTGCTGCTCCCCAATGTTTGGGGCAGGGTCTCTCCCCCAGCCCTGCCTGCCGCCCCCACACACCTCCCCCGAGTGTCCCCCCGCCTCACTTGCTGCCCCCTCACCACCCGGAGCCTGCAGCTCATGCTGACTCAGCTCCGCTCTGCCGGCTTCCGGCATCACCTGCTGCCGCAGGGTCCTAGTGCCCCGTTCCACTAAGGCCAGGGCACTGCCCTTCCCCTGCCCTTTTGCTCTAGTCCTGAGCCTCTCCAATGCCCCAAACCCCTCATCCCTAGTCCCACAGCCCTCACCCCTGCACCCCCTCCTATCCCCAAACTCCACCCCAGGTCCTGCACCCCTGCCCCAGCCCAGAGCCTGCACCCAGCACCCAAACTCCATCCCAGAGCCTGCACCCCTCCACCCATCCTGCACCCCACACCCTGTGCCCCAGCCTGGAGCCTGCACCCAGCATCCAAACTCCATCCCAGAGCCTGCACCCCTCCACCCATCCTGCACCCCACACCCTGTGCCCCAGCCTGGAGCCTGCACCCAGCATCCAAACTCCATCCTAGAGTCTGCACCCCAGACCCTCCTCCCCCATCCAAACTCCCTCCCAGAGCAGGTGGGGGCGGAGTTTGGGGGGGGGCAGGTTCTGGGCACCACCAAAATTTCTACAAACCTGCCACCCCTGGAAGAGGCAGAGCAGGGGTGGAGTGGTGGCGCAGCCCAGTGCAGTGGGGGGGGGGGTGCTTTATTGAGTGTATATATTTTATTAAAACCACTTGGAGGAGGAGGTGGAGAAGAGATGAGGCAGGGCCTCATGGAAGGGGTGGAGTGGGGGCGGGGCCAGGGCAGCAAGGGGGGGTGTCAGTGATGCGGCCCTCGGGCCAATGCACTAGTCCTCATGTGGCCCTTGTGGTCATTTGACTTAAGCATATTAGGCACCTCTTTGAATCCTTCCAATAACTCCTCCTGTTTCACTGCATCAAGTTCAGCTTCTTGTCTTCACCTTGTAAGACTCTTCACACAACTTTCCCTCTCAGGGTAAGATTAAAGCAATCCAGGGTGCTAGTCAACCACAGCATGGGGCTCCTGTGGCCCAGTCCTCTCCCTACCGTTCCAGAGAGGTAGTGGCCAGGGCATCCCCTTCTCCCAGGAAGGCCAGCAGTACCTCCCCTCATTGGGAGTAGCTGAAAGATGGGAGTGGCAGCAGGTGGCCCACGTCACTCTTCTCAGACCACAGTGGAGGTGATGTTGGGTTCCCTCGCAGCTTTTTTCTTTTGTTACAGCCTCATTGAGATAAATGGGTCAGTTCACACATTTCTTTACAACCATTATGGCTAGAATCTTCATTTTTTAGATGAAAGCTGAGATTCTGATGTAATCAATGGCTCCATGAGTGGAGACCCTAGTTATACAGGCCTGCTGCACCTAAACTTAATCTGAATACCCCTCTTTACTTGTCTTTTCTTGCATTTTATTCTGTCTCTTTCAACTTTACCTGCTCAATCAAAGATTCCAGCCTCCTCTGCCTTCCTGTCAGCTGCACTCTCATGCATCTCCATGTGTACTTTCATGTGTCTCTGACGCATGGAACACGTTCCCTGAACTAATCCATAAAACCCTCTCGTCAAGACCCAGCTGTACTGCAGTGCCCTTATGAAATAAGCCAATGAATGACAGTTGGGTAGAGGGACATTTGGGAATATGTCTATTTATAATTGCGAGGGGAAAAAAGTGTATACTGTATACAAATTATATACACAATCATACACACATAATTGTGTCCTCCTCCATCCTCATGTTGCTTGTCTTTGGTCAGAGATTGTGTGTTTGCACAGCACTTATCACAGTGGGACTCCAGTCTTCAACTGGGCCTGTGAAAGCTACAGCAATTTAAATATTGAATAAAAGTATGTTGTTATGAGGAGGCAAGAGTGTGTATGGCTTTTGTGGACAAATCTTTAGTCATCTGAAAAGCAATCTTTCACAGCTGTTATATTTCATGGATAGATATTTCTACAGTTCTGTTTGACGCTTTAGATGCTGTTTTCTAATGAAAATATTGTAAAGCTTCACAACAAGTTTGTGTTTTCAGTATTTGCTGCTCTGTAGAACTACAAACGTAACTGCTGTGAGAGTAACAGAGGGATTGCCAAATATTTAAAGAGATAGCACTCTGATGTCAGTGGTCAGGAAAAAAACATTCCTTTGTTACTCACACTTGAAGGCTTTTATTCAAATAGCTGTCAACTAAAAAGTTTTTGTCAGCTCTTGTAAAATACAGTTTTCCAATCTTGCCAGTTTTAAATAGAACTTTAATATACCTACAATAATTTAGGATTGATGTGATTAATTTAACTAAATTAGTCTGTTAATATATACATCAATACAACATTTAAATATGGTTTTTAAATGTGCATGTAACTTCACATACAAATACAGGAATCTTTTATTGTGTTGTCACCTGATGTTTCCACTCATAGGTGTGCAGAATTATTAATTATGTATCAGGCTGACATTAACCATGCTGCTGAAAGAGGACAGACGCCTTTGTACCTAGCCTGTGGAAATGGAAATAATGAATGTATCAAACTTTTGCTGGAAGCTGGAGCAGATCGAAGTGTAAAAAACAGTGTAAGTTAAAAGAATTTCTAAAATCACAGTGTGAATTGAACAGCTGCAAAAATCAGAATTCCTTGCACTGTAATTTTTAACTCTTTAATGATGTAATACTCAGTGTGTTTTGGAATTAGTAAAAAGCTTTGATTTTAATATTGCTGTGTCTCATTGTAGAATGTTTTCTATTTGTTTAGGTTGCATAGTTTCCATAAAAACTTATAAATCACTTAGCTTTCCTCTTAGCCTCAGTTTCAAAATGCAACATCTTGTATACCATGTTGCTGTGTAGGACAGCAGAGGTATAATCGATCTGCTTCACTGTCAACTCTCATGGTATGCAGTGTTGTTATAGCCTTACTTCTCCTGGTGGCAGTCATGAATGAGGAAGGGATATGTGGTAGCCCCTGATACCTCTATAGCTCTGGGGCATCTTGTCTAATTGCAGATCAACATTATTCTTGAAGAAAACATTCTTCAGCAAGAATTGTGAAAGAAATTCTTAGACATTTGTTACAAAGGGAGAGTGAGGAGGATAAAACAAAATGTATGTGTGTGGTGTGGATGGGGAGAGAGTAGGTGAGAGTCTTCAAATTTAAAGGTTAGGCATTCCCTTATTCACATACTTCAGAGCTATTGCTTAAAAATTTGACATGTACACATAATATTGAGACTTTTTATCACTGAATGTTGTGAGATTTAGACTGTATAGAAATATTGTATGAAAAATACTTTGTATGTGTTGTAGGCTTTGGCTACACTGGCGCTGCAACTTGCTGTGCTCAGGGGTGTGAAAAAACACCCCCCTGAGCGCAGCGAGTACAGCGCTGTAAAGCGCCAGTGTAATCAGTGCCTGCAGCTCCCCTCGGAGCCGCGGCAGTGCTGGGAAGTCCCGAGTGTAGCCAAGCCCTTAGTCTTTTAAACACATAGTGCATGTTAATTAGGTTAAAAGGGGCTGATTTTTTGTGTGGAAAGTAACCTGAATTCATTTTGAAATTAGAGGAAAAGAGGATATAGAAAACATTATAGAAAAGATCTTGTCTGGTTGTTAAGTTGACTTTTTATACCAAGACATTACAGAAATTGCCACTTACTGATTGCTTCTTTGTTGTAATATTAAGCCACACTTTATGGAAGGTGGTGCTACAGAAGTGCATCACCCTGAGAAGAAGACCTAGGGAGGTACAATGGATAAAATTTTCAAAAGCACTTAAGTCCCATTGAAATTCAGTCATTGGGACTAAAATGCCTTTGTTACTGAGACACTTCCACATTTTTCCCCAGTGGCTCCAGAGTGCTCCCCACTGCCACAGAAGTCTTGCCACTGCACTACCTTTGGAGAAGGCACAGCATGCTTTTCCCCCACATGGGAACAGACTCCCTATCTGGTGTCAGGAGGCCAGGTCCATGAATCCATCCTTTCCTACCAACTTTGAGGAAGATATCATAGACAGAGGAAGAATCCTGAATCAGTCTTTGCTGTTAAAGGAGTGTAAGCACTGCCATTGTGCTCTGCTCTGCTGGGTAATACAGGGGGAATGTTCCTTGTACCTTTCTGCCAACTCTCATTGTGGAGTGCTGGCTGCAGATGACCAATAAATGACTTTAAAATTTAGTTTTTGAGGTCAAGATCTGCGAATACATTAAACGGTTTAATTTTTTAAAATTGGAAAAACAATCTACTGCAAGACAATTCTCTCACTAGGGCATGCATTTTCTAAGTGTATTTCTTTGAAAGTAAAATCCAAACCATCAAGCATCCCTGAAATTAAAAGAATCTTTCCTTAGAGTAGAAAATGCAGTAGCAAAATGATGAAGGGTAGAACCAAAGGAAGGTGGAACTAATATTACAGTATTGAGTTGTATGAATGTGTGTATTGATTTTTCCAAACTAAGGAGATTACAAAACTCAGACCATAGATATATGCTGATAAAGGTGCGGGAAGTAGGGCTGCAGGGGGTGCTGCAGCACCCCCAGATTATGCACCCGGTGTCCTGGCTGCTGGCCCACGCCCCTGCCACCCTGAGTCCTGGCTGCCGGCCCCCTGCGGCCCGGAGGTTCTGCTGCCGACCTGGGGTCCTGCTTGGCTGCTGTCCCTGGGGGCTCTGCTGCCAGCCCCAGGGTCCCGGCCCCTAGGCCGCATGTGAGGTCCCAGCCGCCGGGACCCCAGAGACTCCGCTGCCAGCCCCAGGGTCCTTGCCGCCAGCTCAACACCCAGGGGCTCCGCTGCCAGCCCCAGGGTCCCAGCCACCGGCTTGCATGCAGGGTCCCGCTGTGGTCCCAGGGGCTCCGCTGCTGGTCCCAGGGTCCTGGCCACTGGCCCTGCATGCAGGGTCCCAGCTGCCGGCTGCATGCCTGGGGGCTCTGCTGCCTGCCCTAGAGTCCCAGTTGCCAGCCCGGGGTCCCGCCCGGCCGCTGACTCTGTGCCCAGGGGTTCCCCCACCAGCCCGAGGGTCCTGGCCGTCCACCCTGCATGTGGAGTCCCGGCTGCCAGCCCCATGCCCGGGACTCTGCACCCGCGCATAACTGTGGCCCCAGCCTCCACTGCCTTACTCCTGTCCGCATCCCTGCTCCCGGAGCCAAGGGCGTGCGTCTGGCCCCAGCTCTAGGGGGCGGTGAAGGACGCAGATGGGGGCAAGAGGGGTGCATCTCAGTACCACCGCTCCAAAAACTGTTCAAGCACCACTGTGTGCTGATAATCTTTTTGTCACTTACAATGGAAAGAAGCTTGTATGGTCAGCTTAAATGTAGATGTCAGAAAAATTTAGAAGAAAATAAGTAGGAGAGACAAGTTCAGACTGTGGCCTTTAAATTAAGGACATCAAAGGAGAATTAAGGATTGAAAATTCTTCCAAGAGTAGCTGCATTGGCTTTGTTGTGCTAATGCAGAGAGAAGCTAAGCTAACATTGTGTATAGCCAGAGAGGAAAAAAGTGCTATATAAAATTGTACAGAATAGTTAATAAAAAAATCTGACAAAGGTCCAGTTACAATGTTACATTAGCTCGCAATTTGCAACCCAAGATCCCTGGTAGAGGGTTGCTTTGATTCAGTTTGACCTCCACTTGGCATGTTTTTGGTGGACCCTTACGACCTGTGGTGGTTCAATAAATGTCTTTTTCCAAGCAGGTATTATGGGATTGTAACCCACCTTTTTCATTTCACACCAGGCATCTCACACACATACTTATGCATAGAGCACAACAGATGGACTGTCTCATACAAAACTTTGACATTTGTTTATAGCCAGCCATTGTTGGATGCTTAAAAGCTTTACAGATAGCATGTTTGATAGGAAGCAATTAGTAATATAAATTTTGTAACTAACCACTTTTCTCCGTGTGTGGTGGGGTTGTGCTTTTCATTTTTGTCTCTTTAGGATGGCTGGACACCAATTCATGCAGCTGTGGATTCTGGTAATGTTGACAGCCTCAAGCTCCTTATGTACTATGGAGAAACAGACAATGGAAACTTTATGAATGATGCACAGCCTAATTCAGGCTTCTTTGACTTGGAATGCAGAGAAGACAGCTATCCCAGTAAAGCAAGGCCTGTTGTTTCTGCAGATCTTATCAACCATGCTGACAAAGAGGGTTGGACTGCTGCCCATATAGCAGCATCAAAAGGCTTTAAGGTCTGTCTGTCTGTTGTTATAACTATTGTAGCAATTAAATGACTTTTCCATTAATTGTTTGTCTGTTTAATATAGACATGTCAAGTTAATGACATCCTTAATTGTAAATGTAACTGTTCATAGTTAAATGAAAATTATCTTAATTTTGCAAATAGTCTCCAACTGTCCATGGAATAGTGGTTTTTCTTTTTTTTTTTTTTAGTTATCTGTGCTTTACACAGGCTTTTCAATTGGAAATGAGTACGTTAGCTGGAAAAAGTTTTATTATGATTGCAGGGGGAAATCCAATCTGACCTACTCCACCCTGGCTAATTGATGTCAGCAGGGCAGTTTCTTGACACCGAGCACTAATGCAGCATTTGGCAACAGAAGCTTGACGCTACTAACTCTGAATGGTTAATTGATTTTTTTTTTTTTTGAATGAGAAGTAGGATTTGTATCAGTTCAAAGCTGAGACTGTTTCTGGAAGAGAGAATGGAACAGAGATGTCATTGAGGGGCATAGGGAAGGATAGTTTTGAGAATAGGGCCTAAGATTTTAAAAATCAACTAGTGATATTGAGTGCTTAACCTGAGATATTATAAAAGAGGCTTGATTCTCCGAAAAGGCTGAGAACCCACCCTGTGAAAACCCACCACCTCTTTAGGTATATTGGATGGGGCACCGAAAAATGGATGCACTTAAAATTTCTCCACGCTTTTAAAAATCGTGGCCAGATCTGTTTATCATCTGAGTCTGGCTAAGAGGTTGTGACCTTTTTTTGTTGTTGTTGAGGACCTTGCCACTATTCGCCATACTTTATTACATAGAATATAGAATAGAATATCAGGGTTGGAAGGGACTTCAGGAGGTCATCTAGTCCAACCCCCTGCTCAAAGCAGGACCAATTCCCAACTAAATCATCCCAGCCAGGGCTTTGTCAAGCCTGACCTTAAAAACCTCCAAGGAAGGAGATTCCATCACCTCCCTAGGTAACCCATTACAGTGCTTCACCACCCTCCTTGTGAAAAAGTTTTTCCTAATATCCAACCTAAACCTCTCCCACTGCAACTTGAGACCATTACTCCTTGTTCTGTCATCTGGTACCACTGAGAATAGTCTAGATCCATCCTCTTTGGAATCCCCTTTCAGGTAGTTGAAAGCAGCTATCAAATCCCCCCTCATTCTTCTCTTCTGCAGACTAAGCAATCCCAGTTCCCTCAGCCTCTCCTCATAAGTCATGTGTTCCAGCCCCCTAATCATTTTAGCTGCCCTCCGCTGGACTCTTTCCAATTTTTCCACATCCTTCTTGTAGTGTGGGGCCCAAAACTGGGCACAGTACTCCAGATGAGTCCTCACCAATAACGAATAGAGGGGAATGATCACATGCCTCGATCTGCTGGCAGTGCCCCTACTTATACAGCCCAAAATGCCGTTAGTCTTCTTGGCAACAAGGGCACACTGTTGACTCATTTCCAGCTTTTTGTCCACTGTAACCCCTAGGTCCTTTTCTGCAGAACTGCTGCCTAGCCATTCGGCCCCTAGTCTGTAGCAGTGCATGGGATTCTTCCATCCTAAGTGCAGGACTCTGCACTTGTCCTTGTTGAACCTCATCAGGTTTCTTTTGGCCCAATCCTCTAATTTGTCTAGATCACTCTGGACCCTATCCCTACCCTCCAGTGTATCTACCACTCCTCCCAGTTTAGTGTCATCTGCAAACTTGCTGAGAGTGCAGTCCACACCATCCTACAGATCATTAATGAAGATATTGAACAAAACCAGCCCCAGGACCGATCCTTGGGGCACTCCGCTTGATACTGGTTGCCAACAAGACATGGAGCTGTTGATCACTACCCATTGAGCCCGATGATCTAGCCAGCTTTCTATCCACCTTATAGTCCATTCATCCAGCCCATACTTCTTTAACTTGCCGGCAAGAATACTGTGGGAGACCGTATCAAAAACTTTGCTAAAGTCAAGAAATAACACATCCACTGCTTTCCCCTCATCCACAGACCCAGTTATCTCCTCATAGAAGGCAATTAGGTTAGTCAGGCATGACTTGCCCTTGGTGAATCCATGCCGCCTGTTCCTCATCACTTTCCTCCCCTCTAAGTGCTTCAGAATTGATTCCTTGAGGACCTGCTCCATGATTTTTCCAGGGACTGAGGTGAGGCTGACTGGCCTGTAGTTCCCCGGATCCTCCTCCTTCTCTTTTTTAAAGATGGGCACTACATTAGCCTTTTTCCAGTCGTCCAGGACCTCCCCCGATCGCCATGAGTTTTCAAAGATAATGGCAAATGGCTCTGCAATCACATCCGCCAACTCCTTTAGCACCCTCGGATGCAGCACATCCAGCCCCATGGATTTGTGCTCATCCAGGTTTTCTAAATAGTCCTGAACCACTTCTTTCTCCTGAGAATTTAAAGTCTAAGGCAAAACATTTGACACCTGTACTTCAATTCTGTGAGAAACACCTTTTGGAGCTTCATGTTTAGCAATTCTGTTAGTTGCCTTTCTCTGTATATTTGGAAATACATGTGTACGTATTGAATCAGAAGTTTAATGGCTAATTGTAGGGCTGCCTGCTTCCGGCAGCAAACAATTTTTGAGTATTTATCCCAAGTTAATTTAGTTAAACTGCAAATAATACAACTCTTATCTTTCCAGAACTGCCTAGAAATCTTGTGTAGCCATGGTGGACTAGAGGCTGAAAGGAAAGATAAGTGTGATCGAACGCTGCATGATGTTGCCACTGATGACTGCAAACATCTCCTGGAGAACTTGAGTGAGTTACAGTTTGCCAACAGCACTGCACTAAAATATTTAGCAGCCAGGGTCTTGTGGGACACAGAAGAAACATTTAATACAATGTTTGTTTACCCTTAATCTCAGCCTGCTCACATTTTTCAACCACCAAGCCAGTTTAGTTTTTAAAGAATGCAGACATATTACTCAAAATTCTGCTACAATAAATGACGAAAAACGTCTTGTTAGAAGGTACTGAGTAATCTCTTGTTCTGATTTTTAGTAGTACCTTAAAATGTGTCAACTTTAAAAAATCAAATAAATTGTTCAGTTCTGGAAACAAACCTAATCCTTTGGAATTGGTAAATTAATATTTATTAGTTATTTTTCATCAGAACTTTTACCTTTCTTCCTTTCATTGTTCTTATCTTCCTCTTTTCAGACTCTTTGTTTAAACCTGATGGGGATTTTGCCCAAAATAACCTGTTTGTCATTGGATTTGGAGTAGACACTGGGTGATTTTTTTTTTTCCAGACTAATTGTTTATTCACCAAAAAGTGCAGGTTTTTTTGCTGCAAAACTACTAGTGAATTTGATACAAATTTGCCAAATAGTTTTGGCTCAAAACCATTTTTTCATAATTTAGATGCCATTCGAAAATGGGAGGAGCGGGTGGTGCTGGTGCCCTGCTTACAACTTTTTGTCCAGTGGTTAGGGCTCTTAACCGGAATGTGGGAGACCCAGGTTCTAGTGTGGATCTCTCTCATTCTCTCCTGTTGTAACTGTTCCACTATGTATAAACAGAGCCATTGAAGCAAGGACTCGAACTTGGGTCTCCCATGTTGCAGGAGAATGTCTTAACTACCAGGATATAAAGTCATTCTCACTCTCTTTTCCCGGCCCAGGAGCTAGTCATCGTCATTATGGCTGACTGTGAATTGTCACTGGATGAGAGTGCCCAAAGCACTGGGCTAAATGTTACAGGTGGCAGTGGTGACACCATCCCCCACCAGACATTTTGTGAATCTAGCCTTTTAAAAATCCCTGAAACAAAATGTTGCAGATTGAATTATATGCTTTCTTCTACCTGAAATGGATTTTTTTTCAAATCACTGACATTTTTTGCCATATTTATATCTGTTTGACCTCAATCAGATTTTTCCCCCCATAACTGATAGTGAACCAGTTCTGTGTTGGAACTATATTGGTCAATATCATCCAGGACCTGGCCATTGAGCTATAAGAACAAAACTAAAACAGTCTTGTTACAGCAGAATTGCTCCCCAAACCAGCCAGCATCTCTCCTGTAGCTGCACTTCCTCAGTATTTCAGGGTCATTTGCTGAAATGTATTGTTTTTCCAATGAAGTTGGGGGAGAGTGAGGCTTGCAATTCTAGAGTAATCTTTAATGGTGCATATAGCAGGGATGGCCAAACTTACTGGCCCTCTAAGCTGCATACAACAATCTTCAGAAGTTCGAGAGATGGGGTTTGGCGCTTCAGCCCTGTGGCAAGATGGTGGAACTAGGGGTTTCTTCCCTACAAGGGCCAGGGGTGGGGTCTCAGGGCTTCAGCCCTGCAAGGCACACTTGCTGGGGCACGGGGCTTTAGCCCTGCTCTCGCTGAAACCCCAAGACCCAGCAGGCGCCTCCTGCAGGGCTGAAGCCCCAAAATCCCTCTCCCTACTGGGCAGAAACTCCTAGCCCCACCATGCCACCAGAGGGCAGAAGTCCCAGCTCCTCCAAACAATCTGGTAGGCAGAGAATGGGGGTGTGGGGGGCTCTGAAAGCTGCAGTTTAACTGTAAGAGAGTCTCATGCGTCTCATGACTCATGGTTTGGCCACCTCTGGCATATAGTATAAACAGATATTAATCTACAATCTTTTGCTAGTATGGAATTTTGTCCCAGTTCTCAGAGTACAGCAACATCCAAAAATTATTCATCTAATGTGTTATGCTGTGTATGTAACCCACCGCACACACTTTGTTCCTTTATTATTTTTTAACTTTTTTTCTCTGGTGACATTCTTAAAATGTTTACACACTTAAAAATAGACAACCCATTGGAATGTCTTTATTTTTCTATGAGAGAAAATGTCCACAGAGAGAAATTAGTTTCAAAATTTTTGCTTTCCAGACTCCCATTAAAAATGTTTGGCTTGGATATTTTCCCCTGTAATTGCAACTAAATAATTATTAGCTTTTTCTATAATGATAGTAAAATTGCATTGACATACATATGCATAACCACAAATGAAAGCTCCTCCCTGTTAGAAAATGAAATGTTAGAAACCACTAGCCATATGACTAAATCTGTAAGAATTTGAATCTGGAAAGAGGAAATGAAACATTATTTAAGCTTGTCTTGTAGACCAATAGTGTATTATTGGTACTTATAAAATGAAGGTAGTGATGTTGAATGCTTTGTATGATAATCTGTAATTTAATAGTGGTTTTATGACTGTTTTGCATTGTGGTATGGTCCATGCTCTTTCTCCATATTCCCTAATGAATAATAGATGTTATAATACTTGTCTGTCTCCAAGGGCTATTGAGATGTAAAAGTACTTCATATTATTAATCTTATTTACAATAGCTCTTTTATTGTGTTTTTTGTGTGATTTTAACTATCTTAAGTTCTCTAATTTTTTTTTTAATAGATGCTCTTAGAGTACCTTTAAGGATTTCAGTCAGTGAAATAGAACTAGCCTACTGTGGTACAGAGGATTGTGACACAGAAAACACAATATGTTCTTTAAATATCCGCAAACAGACATCATGGGATGATTTTTCAAAAGCAGTGAGTCAGGCGGTGACAAACCATTTCCAAGCAATCACCTCTGATGGATGGAGGAGTCTAGAAGACCTGACATTTAATAATGCTGCAGAATCCAACATTGGCCTCAGTGCAAGCAGTATATTATCCATCAAAATAGGTATGAATCATCACTGTTGCTTGAAAGAAAAGCAAAACCTTTTCCCTGTTTGTGGGGTGCATGATATGTTGTTAATTCCTTAGTTAAGTATATTTAAAATTATTTGTGGCAGCTTCTGGGCTAGGTCAGGTCATCATGATTGCATTCATTACACAAAAAAACTCATTTGCATTAAGACACTTTTATGCCTTAAGTATTACTTACCCAGTAAAATAAAATTGGATGAAAATATTTGATGAGGTTTCTTGATATGCTGCTTTAAACCTTAGAGACTAAGGAAATTCCCTTTTGGGAAAGGAGGAGCCCATCCTAAAACAAAATGAAGCCAGCTCGCTGGCATGTAAAATTAAAAAGGTCATAGAGGAGTTTTTAAACTACATGTTGAGGAAAAGCTGACAGGTGTGGAAGAGCAGACAATTCTGACAGACGCATCCATTAGGGGGGGATTCATTCAAGGGGATACTCTATATCCTAGTAAAGAGGAGAGGATAGAAGCTGACAGATTACAGGTAGGAACTAAAGAGAAACAGTCAAATGAAAGAGTCCCGTTCAATTACATCACATGGCAGACAACTAAATATTGACAAATTTTATGAGTGCTTGTATGCAAATGCAAGAAATCTAAATACTAAGATACTGAGTGCCTGGTATTAAATGAGAATATTGACATAATAGGTATCACAGAAACTTGTTGGAATGATGATGATCAATGGGGCACGGTAATTCCAGAGTACAAAATATATGGGAATGACAATAGGTCTCACTAGTGGAGAAATGACATTTATATGTGAAAGAAAGCATAGCGTCAAATAGCGTAAAAATCTAAATTAAACATTACCATAAAATCTCTATGGATTCCATGCTTGAATAGTAAGATATAGCAGTAGGAATATACTACCAACCACCTGCCCAGGATGATGACAGTGATTGTGAAATGCTCCAGGAGATTAGAGAGGCTGCAAAAACAGAAAACCAAATAATTATCGGGGATTTCAACTATCCCTTACTAACTGGGAACATGTCACCTCAAGATGGGATGCAGAGAGAAAACTTCTAGACACCATTAATGGCAGCTTCTTAGAACAGCTAGTCCTGGAACCCACAAGGGGAGAGGCAATTCTTGATTTAGCCCTAAGTGGCACACAGGATCTGGTCCAAGAGGTGAAGATAGCTGAACCAATTGGTAATAGCAACCATAATGTAATTACCGTATATACTCATTCATAAGTCGAATATATTTGGTAAAAAAGTGATGCATCAAAGAGCAGGGATCGGCTTATAAACGGGTCTACACCAAAATTTGATGATTTTAAACTCTATGGAATCATTTAATTGAATATCTAATACATTGTCGTTTTGTTTACCTGGAGCGACTGCAGGCATGGAGCCCCTCAGCTCCCTGTGGCTGCGGTTCGCCGTTCCCAGCCAATGGGAGCTGCAGGAAGTGGCGCCACAGACCTGACATTTAATAATGCTGCAGACGCTCCAAGTAAACAAAATGTTCCGACCCACCAGCGGCTTACCCTGATGGGCTGGGAGCCAAAGTTTTCCAACCCCTGAAATATAGGGTCGGTTTATGAAAGGGTCATACAGTTTTTGCTATCTTTACCTATCCCTTTTGCGGGGGTCGGCTTATAAACGAACAAGTTAATGAATGAGTATATATGGTAAATTTAAAATCCTTGTAAGGAGAAAATACCATAGAAATCCACCATAGTAACATTTAACTTCAAAAAGGGGAACTATGTAAAAATAAGAAGGGTAGTTAAACGGAAATTAAAAGGAACAGTTACAAGAGTGAAATGCCTGCAAGCTGTATGGCACCTTTTTAGAAAACACAATAATAAAGGCTCAAATGATATATATACCCCAAATATATTTAAAAAAAACCCAAACAGTAAGAGGACCAGAAAAATGCCACCATGGTTAAACAATAGAGTACAAAAGATCGTTAGAGACAAGACATCACTTAAAAATTGCAAGTCAAATCCTACTAAGGAAGATAGAAAAGAACATAGCCTCTGGCAGGTCATATGTGAAAGTATAACAAGGCAGGTCAAAAAAAATTGATGAGCAATTAGCAAAAGACACAAAAATCAGAAGCAAAAAAAATTTAAAGTCCATCCGAACCAGGAAGCCTGCCAAACAATCAGTGTGTCCACTGGATGATTGAGGTGCTAAAAGAAGCTTTCAAAGAAGATAAGGGCATTGCAGAGAAGCTAAATAAATTCTTTGCATTGGTCTTCACTTCAGAGAACATGAGGGAGATTCCCACATCTGAGCCATTCTTTTTAGGTGACAAATCAGAGCTGATTGAGATGTTGATAAGAGGAGGTTTTGGAACAAATCGCTAAATTAAACAGCAATAAGTCACCAGAACCAGATGGGGTTCACCTAAGATTTCTGAAGGAACTCAAATATGAAATTGCAAAACTGTGATATGTAACCTATTGCTTAAATCAGCCTCTGTACCATATGACTGGCAGATTGGTGTTATATTAGCTATGTTTTTAAAACATTAAAGAGTCTATCCTGGCAATTACAGGCCAGTAAACCTGACTTCGGTACCGGGCAAATTGGTTGAAACTATAATCAACAGAATTATCAGACATACAGATGAACACGATTTGTTGAGGAAGGGTCAACTTGGGGAAGTTTAGCTTTTCTAACAGGAAATCATGCCTCACCAATCGATTTAAATTCTTTGAGTGGGTCAATAAACATGGACAAGGATGATCCAGTGGATATAAAGTGTACTTGCACTTTCAGAAATTCTTTGACAAGGTTCCTCACCAAGGCTCTTAAGCAAAGTAAGTAGTCATGGGATAAGAGGGAAGGTCCTCTCATGGATCAGTAACTGGTTAAAAGATAGGGTAGGAATAAATGGTCAGTTTTCCAAATGGAGAGAAGTAAATAGTGGGGTCCTCCAAAGATCTGTATTGGGACCAGTGATGTTTATAACTGATCAGGAAAAAGAGGTAAAGCATGAGATGGCAAAGTTTGCAGATGATACAAAAGGACTCAAGATAGTTAAGTCCAAAGCTGACAGCGAAGAGTTACAAAGGGATATCACAAAACTGATGGCACTTGAAATTCAGTGTTGATAAATGCAAAGTACTGCACATTGGAAAACATAATCTGAACTCCACATATAAAATGATGGGATCTAAATTAGCTGTTACTACTCAAGAAGAATATCTTGGAGTCATCGTGGACAGTTCTCTGAAATCATCTTTTCAATGTGCAGTAGTCAAAAAAGCTAACAATGTTAGGAACCATAATAGCTAATAAGGACAATAAATGCCATAGTGCCACTGTATAAATCCATGGTACACCCACAACTTGAATAAAGCATGCAGGTCTGGTTGCTCTATCTGAAAAATTATATATTAGAATTAGAAAAGACACAGAGAAGGGCAACAAAAATGATTAGGGGCATGGAACAGATCCTATATAAGGAGAGATTTAAAAGACTGGGACTGTTTGGCTTGGAAAAGCGATGACTAAGGAGGTCTATAAAATCATAAATAATGTGGAGAAAGTGAATAAAGAAGTCTAATTTACCCCTTCACACAACACAAGAACCAGGGGTCTACAGTTGAAATTAATAGGAAGCAAGTTTAAAACAAACATAAGGAAGTACTTCTTCACACAACGCACAGTCAGCCTATGGAATTCATTGCCAGGAGATGATGTGAAAGCCAAAAGTAGAAAGGGGTTCAAAAGAGAATTAGATAAGTTCATGGAGGATAGGTCCATCTATGGCTATTAGTCAAGATGGTCCGGTATGCAACTCCGTGCTCTGGATGTCCCTAAACCTCTGACTGCCAGAAGCTGGGATTGACAACAGGGGATGGACCACTCAATAAATTCTGTTCTGTTCATTTCCTCTGAAGCATCTGGCACTGCCCGCTGTCAGAACACAGGATACTAGACTAGATGGACCATTGTTCTGACCCAGTATGGCCATTCTTATGTTCTTATGAACTGCCTTAAGATCCTATCCAATAAACCTTAGAACATGCCTACATGAAAGCATTCTTTAACTCTGGCTGTGTGGGTGGTATAGTGGATTAAGGCACTTTTATATCTTCTTTGGGGCCCAGGTTTCAAGTCTGCCCTGAGATCCTAAGTCAATAAGAGTTGTGTTGTCTCAGTCTAGCCCTCAAAAAGAAGGGATCAGCATTACACCTTAAAAAAACAAAACCTCTTCTATAAAATCCTGTGCTTGGGTTTTTGTAATGAATCCTGACTGATACTTACATGTATAGGCAAAAGAGAACTCCCATTTTATTTCAGTGAAAGCTCTACTTAGGAATTGATCAGGAAAATTAACAGATTGTTATTCCAGTATGATACTTCCAGCTTAGAGTAATCATGGAACAATACTGGGAAAACCATACTGCATGAAGGTGTCTGGCCAATATATAAATAAAACTGCTTTTTTCATTGTTGCCCATCTTTTCATAAACAGCCACTGCACCACAAAATTCAAGCATCTCTTAGAGCCTGATTTTCCATTATCCTGCACCTTTGTGTAGTCATTGCACTAGTGCAAAGTATGCTTAAAATGCTGCCCTTCAGCTTTCCGAGCTTTTTACACAAGAAGTGAGTGCAAATCAGAATTGGTAGCATTTTATGGTCACTTTGCACTGGTTTGAATGACTATACAAGATATAGGGCAATGGAAAACCAGGCCCTTCATCTAAAAAATTAATTAATGGAGATATCCTATCTCCTAGAACTGGAAGGGACCTTGAAAGGTCATTGAGTCCAGCCCAGTGCCTTCACTAGCAGGACCAAGTACTGATTTTTCCCCAGATCCCTAAGTGGCCCCCTCAAGGATTGAGCTCACAACCCTGGGTTTAGCAGGCCAATGCTCAAACCACTGAGCTATCCCTTCCCCCCTATATTATGCTTTGAATCAAGCAAATTACCATGGTTTTATTCAATGTTTACTATTTAATATATTAAATGTAAAGGTCCATTACAAAGTGATATTTTAAACTATTGTTTTAATCTGCATACAACAGCAAATGTTCAAATGTTATCACCCATATATAAAATAATTAAATGTTTTTATACATGGAACTGATTTGTTTTTCAAAATAGAAGAACTGAATATATATGTACACATTCTGTGCCGGTGGATAGATGTGCTGTGTGTGTGGTGGGGTGTATGCAGATAGAGTATGGATATGTCTCCATTCTCTCTCTCTCTCTTTTTTTTTTTTTAAACAGGAAATGTTCCATGGTCAACGGGTCAGATTTTTCCACAGGCACCGTGGGATTTTTTGAAGAGGAATAAAACAGAACACATAACAGTGTTTTTATTCGGTAAAGGCATTTGCAACTATTTTGTTTTTGAAAATTGAAAAATTCCATAGTAATAGAGATTATGTATCATTTGCTACCATTTTTTTCTTTAGAATTTCATACGACTTTCCTGCTTCCCATAAATTTGACATTCAGTTAGTAAAATAATTATCACTTAATTTGGTTAAAAGCAGATATGTGGACCTAGAGCGTTTAGAAACACGTGATAGCACTTAGGAGCTATAAACTCCATAGGTACGGTTATTTTATAATATCTATATCACCCATAGTACCTTTTAAACCTGTATTACAAGATACAGGTAATTCTTTTCATGATAAAAGAAGTTGATTAGCAACTCTGATTGAATATGTGATGTCCAAATAGAGTCTTAGAGATTCTTCAAGGTCTCACTATAGCTAGTATAGGAATGCTTGTTTGTTTATTACACATTCTTATAAATCATGAGGATTGCAGGTATTAGATAATAATATATGTATTTTAAAGGTCCTCAAGAAGGCTGCTTAAACAGTGTGACTTACGCATCTATGATCCACCTTCAGATACTACAGAACTACCTCCGGCTGGTAGGTACCAGACCAACATCTGTCTGCTGGCTCTCATCTCCTTTAGGCATATGTGAAAACCCCTGCTTAACCCAGTCTGCAGTGCTTCTACCATCTCACCCTCCGTTTCTGTCTTTTGTCTCCTTATTGATGGATTGATGATTGATTAATATTGATTATTGATTAATCTCTTAGACCTCAGTGGTCAATAAAGGTTCAGTCTTTAGTAGTATCAGGAATATTATAATCAGTATCATTAGAATAAGAGACCCTAGAAGCACATGAAAAACAATTGCAATTTTTACCAATTTCTTTTATTAACAAATCCACTAAACCAATAAATAATCCCACAAACACTAAAATATAATAGCAGATAGAGAGAGTGCAAAGTCTTTAACCCTATGGCTGGCATCTCTCTCATCTCCGACTGAGGGACCCTGGAATGTCAGTCATTGTCTTCCGCATTATCATCTTCATCATCATCATCAAAATTCTGAAAGTAAGCCTCTGAGCAAATACCTCCCATTGAAATCCTCCCCTGAGGCCACAATTCCTCTACACTGCAAGGAAGTAATGAAGAATGATTGGGATAAGACAGACATGGGCAAGCACATTAACAGAAATTATCTTAGGTTCTGCGGGATCCAGGAACCAAAAGTCCCAATTATTGAGATACCAAAAGTTGACGCTGCCATAGTGTCCCTGGCTAAAGATATGGTTATCTCCTCAGAAGTGAAGTTCTAGCCTAAGGACTTCCCAGATACAAAAATGGATGCCACTCTCAAAAAAAGACTGTGAGGCCTCCTCAGCTTCCTCAGGGCATCACTAGCAGCTTTTTTTGTTTGTTTTTTTTGAGAGCATCTCTCTGCTGGGTGGAAAACTCAGAGCTCTCAAAGGCAGAGAGCACTCTCACTTTGGCTCTATTTTTAAAAAAAATTACCTTGGAAGCAACGTTCATTGCTGACACCTCAATGGATGTAATTAGATTCTCAGGCAAACATATGGCCTCCAGCTCAGTGAGCAGGTGCCACCTACAGCTCTGGAAGATGGATAGCCACTCAAAGTGGGTGCTGTGCTTTGCCAAATTCACAGGAGCCCTGCTTTTCAGAGAGAAGTTATACAAGTTAGTGATAGACAATGCCGCAAAATCTTAACAGTTCCTTCCAACAGTACACCATGTCTTTAAAAGAGAATGCGGACTGGCCTTCAGACAAAGGTGTTCTTTTCGGCCTTTGGCCTTGCGGAATACAAGTGAAGAGACAGCAGATTCTCCAGAAGAATGCCATGGAACCAAGGCTTGGGAGGAAAGCCCCAAGGAAACCCTGCCTCTCCCAAAGTCCGCGTCCATTTGTAACAGAGACTGCATAGGTCTCCCCTTGAAGCTGAAGATTGGGAGCAGGATTTCCCATTTCCTGGAGGAATGGGTTGCTTCGACCCCAGACCAGTGGGTCAGGAATACTCACTTGAATTATGGGCTCCACCCTGTCCATTTCTCATCCAGACCCCTGTCACGCTGTCTGGTAGGCTCACCACTGAGAGTGCCAATCTGAGATCAGACTGTCAGAAAATAGGGCAGACACACCAAGTTGGTGGTATATTCTATGAGATTTTACAAAGCCAATAACAAACATGCACTCCTGGATTACTATATTAGTCTTGCCGTGGAGTCACAGACAGTCCACTTATGCTCTCTCAGGACCCTCTTTACCTCCCAGACAAACTAGACTTTGTGTTGAAAGGTTATTAAAACCCCAAATCACCTGACATTAGGTTACTCCCAACCCCAAGGGGTCAGTTACTTACTCCAAGTCAATGAATACTCTGGATCTCACACCAAAAACAATGCTGAAAAGTAAATTTCTCTAGTAAACTAATTAAAGGTTTATTAGCTAAGAAAAAGAAATGAGTTATTAAGAGGTTAAAGCAGGTAAAGTACATTAACAGGTGAGTCCAAATTTGTAAACCCAAAGTGATAGCAAAGATGTAGTAATCTGCTAGTTTCCCATAAGTCTCTCAGGGTTGCCCAAAATGATTTTGGGGATTTCTGTCTTTGCATCTGGAATGCGCTCTGTAAGTGTCCATGGCAGCTCATCAATACAGGATTGATCCGGGGGGAGGGATAGCTCAGTGGTTTGAGCATTGGTCTGCTAAACCCAGGGTTGTGAGTTCAATCCTTGAGGGGGCCATTTAGGGATCCGGCGGGGGAGGAACCTGTCAGAGACCATACTTGGTCCTGCTAGAGAAGGCAGGGGACTCGACTTGATGACCTTTCAAGGTCCCTTCCAGTTCTGTGAGATAGGTATATATTATATATCAGGGGTCAGCAACCTTTCAGAAGTGCTGTGCTGAGTCTTCATTTATTCACTCTAATTTAAGGTTTTGTGTGCCAGTAATACATTTTAACGTTTTTAGAAGGTCTCTTTCTATAAGTCTATAACATATAACTAAGCTATTGTTGTATGTAAAGTAAATAAGGTTTTTAAAATGTTTAAAAAGCTTCATTTAAAATTAAATTAAAATGCAGAGCCCCCCGGACCGGTGGCCAGGACCCGGGCAGCGTGAGTGCCACTGAAAATCAGCTCACGTGCCGCCTTCGGCACACGTGCCATAGGTTGCCTACCCCTTTTATATATATCCCTGGATTCAACATTATAGCGTCTTCCACGGAAGGCAATTAGGCGAGTATTTTCATTCACAGTGGGGCTCTTCCTTTGTTGGCTAAATGAAAACGGAGCTTGTGAGCTTTCAGTGTCGAACATAACAATCCATGCTTTGAAGTTAGCAATCTTTTACATTTTCCAGGCTCCAGTCTCATGTGATGGGCAGATGTAATGTAAATACAATGTGATAGCCAAAAACAATCCTTCATTAGTTTTCATTAAGTTTTACACATTAAATAAATTTTCCTCCTAATACTAACACACCTTTGATCTAGGATTATCTCACTGAAGGGTGTACATAATGTAATTACACGTAATGTGATAGCAGACAACAGCATACAGATAAGTGAAAACAGTACAATCAACATTTTTGATCTATTCGAACAAGTGAATTGGCTTGAACACACTAAGACCTTTTAACATTTCTTTGATATTCACACACAAGTGAATTGCCCTGTTGCTCTAGTCTGAGCTGGCAATCTGTTAGACAGCATCACACCCTTGAACATCTTGAACAACTCTGTAAAACTCTAATCCAGAATGAGATTTCTCACCTCCCAGATATGGGAGTAATAGAGAGCATTCCCTCAGAAGAAAGGTGCTACTCCATCTTTATCATTCAGAAGTGTACGGAAGGAGTGTGAGCCAATCCAGATCTCAAAAGGCTCAACAAGTGGATGAAGGAAATGTAGTTCCAGATAGAGACTCTAACTGCTACAGTGTCATCCCTGTCCCCAGGGGAATCTTCTGACTTCAGTGGATCTGACAGATGCACATATCCACATCCCAATAAGACCAGGCCATTGCAGGTTCCTAAGGTTTGCCAATGGCAGGTAGCAGTCTCAATATCGGACACTCCCATTTAGTTTGTCATTGGCCCCCCTGGATCTTTACAGAGATGGTGGTGGAAATCTTAGGCAGACTCACGTCACCTATACACCTTCCCGGACAACATCTTAATCAGAACTCTGCCCCCAGCAACAGCACACAGAACTACAATCCTTGACCTTGAATCTCCTGCAGGAGTATGGCTTTATTATAACATCAAAAAAGCTTAGAGAAGAACCACATCCTGATTGTCAGACAACATAATCCCAGTCACATAAGTGAATAACCAAGGGGGCAGCAAGAAGCCCAGCACTACAGGCTGAAGCAATGGAAATCATGCAGTGGGTGGAGAGTTCTCTCCTCTCCCTCAGGGCAACTCACATAAAGGGGGAGACCTGAACCAAAAGGCAGACTAACTCAGCAGGCACAAGGTGAACAGCTGCAAGTGGTGCCTGAATCAGGAGGTCTAGTTAATCATCCAATTGTTTGGCCTTTCCTTAACCATTTAAGAAGCACATAAATGTGTAGAAATCAAAGTAATTCCCCAGGGAAGTGAACCCCAGATCTATGGAAACAGATGTCCTATCACACAGGTAGCCACAGGGCCCCCCTCTATGTATTTCTGCCCTTTCCATTATTAGGGAAGGTGATCCAGAAAAAAAATGAGAACAGGACAGTAATATTGGTAACCCCTGGTTTTGGGACCTGATAGAGCTGAAATTGGGACCACCACTAAGCTCCCCAAAAGACCAGAAATCCTTTCCCAAGGCCCTCTACTTCATCTGGACCCAAAGTGTCTGCACCTAACAGCCTGGCTATTGAAAGGGAACCACTAATATTGGTGGGAATGTCCTCCAGAGTCACCAGAACACTTCTTTCTTCTAGAAGAGTATCAACCTTGAAAATATGCTTCTTTAATTGGACCAGGTTTTGCGACGGTGCCAGGAACATGAAGCAAATTCTGTAATTCCTCTATCTGAATTTTCTCCAAGAAGTCTTCAACAAAGGTCTCCAACCCAGCATCATTGTGCATCGTGTCTGCCCCTAGTAAAATGATGTTCACAGGATCTAAAGATTCCCTGGCAGGAACACCTAGGTAGCCAGATTCCTTAGGGCAGTCCAGATGGCCAAACCAGTGATTAGATCTCCTTTTCCCAAGTGATTGCCACTTGTATTGAGACCCCTGACAAACCATCACTTTGAACCACTGACATCAATATCCGCATTTTATTTGTCCATCAAAACTTGATTTCTGATAGTCATCACATACACCAAGTGAGTGTCAGAGCTGGCAGCACTCTCCATGCAGGAACCTCATTACAAGTTTCATAAGGACAAGGTGGTGCTCAGAGTTCTGGAATTGTTTATCCCGAAGGTGGACTCTCCTTTCCACACTTCCCAAGAAGTGGTTCTAGCTTTATTCTGTCCAAATCCACAGCATCCCATCGAGGAGAAGTGGTACATCTTAGATGTCAAAAAGACTCCGAAAATGTACTTCAAATGTACAGAATCCATAAGGAGATCAGGGGGCCC